TTTTTGTTCAATATAAAAAACTTGGTAAACAGTACTCCTCGTTAATTGACAGAACAAATTTTGAACAGAGAAATACAACATTTATTTTCTATTTTAAACTCCTAACAAGGGAATCAATTAAGCTGAAATTCAATAACAAATGTGTATATTCCACTTTATATTAAACTCTGTGTGTGTTGGCCACTTCAGAAATATGCTGACAACATTTTGCATATTAAAATTGCTGATTGAGAGATTGCAGACATTGCATCATTATTTTATAAATCCATTTCGTATATTTTTTTAAAGCTATATACAGAGACAAAGCTTGTCTTTAGATTAAAAGAGTTGTTTAACACTGTTTTGGCCAAGCGGACTTAACATGGGTTTCCAATATATTTTTACAGCTTTTTTGCATTAAATAAATTTATGATTGTCAATTTTTGTTGTCAATAAGTGCTGTTAACTGAAAAGGTCAAGCCTTGGTAGTTGCGTGACATTTGAAAATGTAATTAACAATTTAAAGAATTCACAAGGACTACAAAAAACTGTCTGAAAGTAATTGAAAATAAATTGCAATTAGATGAGACAAACCAATCAAATCGGCCATTAAAATCCTCGCTTGGATTTGCATTTTTACTTTACACAGTGGGGCCCAACATTTCCACCTTATGCGGGAAGGTTAAATGTATGTATATTCCAGGATATAATATTATGTATTTGAAGTGGCGTTAACTCGAAACCTGCTAAATATTCGCGCTGCGCTCGACTGTCACATTGAAAAATCCCAACCAAGCCCCCTGCGCCCTCATTTTTGCCATAGAAAATTTATGTATCGAAACTTTTTTCTACTTTTCCCCCCTTAACCTTTCTCCCACCTCCCCTCGGCGGCACTTGGAATTTAGGCCAAAACACTTTTGAAGCTGCCAACATGGCGCAGATGTGGGCTAGAAGTTTACAAATTTTCAAGCGCTGCAGGATCGTGTAATGTTGAACGAAATGTGACATAAATGATTTTCGCTACATATTTTATTGGTGGGAGGAAGGTAGGTGGTGGATCTGAGAACTTGAACAACTATTTACACAAGTTTGTGTCTTTAGGTAATTTATTTTGAAAATTTTCACACTAAAGGGACTTACGATATTGTAGTTTATTTTCAAGGGAAAACCAACTTTTGTGACTACTGAGATTAAGATAAAATATTATATAGTTTTGTAAGTTAAAGTTAAAAAATTATAAATCTATATTAATATGTTGCCATATTTTTAAAAATTGTAAATATAATGTGTAACTGTTGAAATGTTAATCTAAATGTATATATTTCATCCCGCAAAGTTGTACCTGTGTGTAATTAATGTTAAATATTCATAATTTATGTTAAAATTAAATTGGAACAAAGCCTATGCATAAATGAGTCACTGCACATCAACCGGCATTTGCTGTAAACCTAATTTAAATAATTTCCATTACGGCATAGCTGCCAGTGCCTTTGACTCGCTTTTCTTGCTTTTCTCTTACCCTGTGGAAGCAGCCCAGACTTGCATATAAAACATGAAATTAATGCTTAATTAAGCAAGTTTCTACCTGCACACATTACACACTCAATGTGCTGTGTGTGTGTGAAAGTATCTTAACTCGACTATTCCTTGAAAGAAGAGAGCGTACGGAGAACTTTTCCTTGGCATAAACTTAAATTTTGATTTTCATAATTCATTCAGCGAAGCTTAGCCAATGGCTATGCTTTAATTTTGATGGCATTAAAGCAGGGTTCTTTTGCCATCTTCGCCTTTGTTTAATGCTGCATTTTATGACCCGAGGAAGAGTAAAGTTTTTATATGTGAGATGCCAGTCCAGGTTCGGCAAGGCAAACACAAGTTTTTATCGCAATAAAAGTTGACAATTGCAAATAGAAGGGGGGATAAAGGCAAAACTTGCATATCTTTAAGTTTTCCAAGGAAAAACTACACCTAAGATCAGGAATAACATCGAAATGCACTTGGAAATACACAGAAAATATATATATATGAAAAATATCTCGACTTTTAATAAGGAAACCAAAACCAAAAACATTTCAATATATTTATTTTCTTTCTCTCCGTGTTTAGGGTATTTTCCCCTGCTCCAGCTTGATTCCATGCAACTTTTCATTTTTCATGCAGTGCATAAAGTATATGCCTTTTCCCTTTTACCACATTTTTCTTTTGCTGTTTTTTATGTTTTGCATGAGTGGCGGAATGTCAAAGCCTTCTGTTTCTACCCTCTAGACCATGTCCCCCCCTCTATCATAGGGGGAGTTATTCCAATGCAAAAAGGGCTGCATACATTTTTGGGGCCAACAATGCGCTTTGAAATTTCTAAAACAAACACACACACACACTGGCCTTGTCTTCTACTAAAGCTATATATGCCTCTCTCTCTTTCTGGCACTTGATCCATGTCAAATCGTGCGTAGTTATTCACAGGGGGCTCCCGAACTCATTTTGGTTTCTCTGGGCCGTTTGGGTTGAGTTGCTGCAAAGCATTCTAATTGTTACGAGCGTTTTCCTGTTGGACACGGCACGAGTCCTTAAACAAACAAGAATTTCACCAAACCCAACCCTTAGCACTAGTTTCTCTCAGTATACAGGCTCTCTTTCTCACTTTATCTCAAAATTCTCTCAATTCTTTAGGGCGCATGCTCAACCAAGTGTTCGAATCTCAGTTGTTTCTGGTCGTCTCATTTTTAGTTTTCACATTCCAGGAAGGACTCTCTCTCTCCCTTCTCTCTCCTTATCCATATCCCCTTCCCTGTCTTTATACCCTTCTCTCTCTCCTCTTGAATTTTCTCATGTGTATTGGCGTAGCATTTTAAATGAATGAAAAATATTGTCGTAAATATCTTGTTCACTTGCTGCTGCTGCTCTGTCCTTCCCCCTGCGATGGTGCAACGCTTTGTTAAGTGTTTTACATAGTTGAGTTTTCCGAGTTTCCTCCCCCGCCCCATTTATCCATTATCTGGCCCATGTGTGCATCCTAGAATTTTCCTATACCGCCTCTACCTCGCCCCTGGATGCTCATAAATTAACTCAAGGATGTCAGGATCCTTTGGAGAGCAACGAGATTATTGTGAACGAAATCTCATATTCCTTGGCTATTAGTGTCTAAAGCGAGTCCTTTTAATGATAATCCCTTAAAAATGTCATCAAGTGGTTGTTTCGATTTTCTTTAGGTCTTTCAAGACTGCGTATTAATTTGAAAATAAATATTGGAAAAATCTTGAATATTATATCGAACAACAAACTTCATTTGGCTCTTTTTGTACTTATTTTTAATCAGTTTTTTTTAGCTTCCTGCAAGGGTCGTGGCAATCAAAGGATTGCTGGAAAAAGCACAATCAGTCAGACAAAGAGCAGAAGCGATAGCGAATGAGAGACAGTTGCAGTTGCAACATTTATGGAAACAGTTAATTGACTGACAGATGGACAGTCGAGAGAGTTGAAATGGGTTCAAAGGGGGGCCAAAAAGGGTGGAAAGATGTCGAAAGGGGGGGTCCAAAATGGGTGCAAGGGTGTCAAATGGGCTGGATCCACCAGTTTTCACCGAAACAATTAGCGCCAGCAATGCGGAAAACAGCAGAGGAAGGTTTCCTCGTTCCCTTCTCCCAACCTTCTTGCACCCGCCGCGGATTTAAATGAAACAAGTGTGGGAGTGTGCTGTATTGTGAATATTTTTCAACATTTCATGAACTTGTCCTGAATGTACAAATTCTGCTTGGACATTCGGGTTGAGAGAGCTGTCAGTTGGCTGAACCTTTCGTTCGACTCATGTCAAAAGCGAGGACTGCAGAAAATGGGGAGGAGAAATGCGGTTTTTGGGGCTCTTCAGGATTCAGGATTCAGCTCCAGTGGCTCCTTACTTGGTTTACTGCTGTCCGGTTGATGCCTGAATGGTTTCTGGATTGTTTTTCCTTCAATATTTGTTTATTGAGCCACGCTTCAAATGACACTTAAAATACAGAAGCTGTCAATAAAAGGGAAAGCCACAGAAAAGAAAGCTATGGCAACTAAACCTTGAGGATTTCCTTTGAAATGTAATATCAACTGTCATGAACTTTGTAAATTTTAAATAATTTCAGAACTATCTCATTTAATAGCTACTGTCAATCTCTTAAAAAGCTCCTATAAATTATCCGTTTATGAAAACTATATAAATAAAAAATATTATTCCCTGTGCATTTTATCCACTCCTTTTTACATCGACTACAATTGCTTGCCTTGTCAACCGAATATTTGAAAGGCAATTTGCCATTTTATCGCAACAAAAGATGCTGCAAAGAAGAACACAAAGTGATTTGCATTTAATTGTGGAAATTGAGTTTACCAAAATTGATGTGAACATAAAATAGAATTGAGCATCCTCGAGTGGATTTCTGCACTGTCAGCTTATCAAAAATCAGATAGAATTTTGCCTAAATTGCAGGGAAAATTTAAAATTGTATCTCTAGCTATTACTCTTTCGCACATCAACTGATGTTTGGGCAAAACGCTTGACAGTATGGTATTTTTTTCCATTGATTGACCCTCCAGCGCATCCAATTAGTCTGGTTTGGTCATATCCTCTGCCTTGATTTTCATAATTTTCCTCCCTGAATTTCCATTATGCGGTTATTGCCTGGGCCTCATTATGCAGACGCATTTATTTTTCGGATACACATAATTATGCATAAACAGCTGAACAAATTTGTGTGCTAATGTGGAAGATTAAATAGCTCTCGTGGTGGGTTCAATAAATCTCTGAATAAATACGGTGAACGCTGGCTAATTGCTTTTCCAGACTGAATATAAAGAGCGGAATAAATGTATCCCAAATGGCAAACTTAAATAAACTTTAAGAAATATAGGAGTGAAATTTAGTTAACTTTTCTATATATAAAAAAGTTTTTTAGGGGGTATAGTTTGTATTCCTACTTAGAACCAGTTGCTTTTATGTATATAATTTAAAATATTCTCCCTTAAAGTTTTATATAAATTTTTCCACTTACCATTATGTCCCATATTGGTGATGATGACCCAAAAATCGATGGTTTTTTCGGGACCCAGCTCCTCGTAGTCCCACTTCTTCTTGACTCGCACAGCGCCATTTGTTTCCACCGTCACCCAGGGATTATCGTCCCTGATCTTGAACGTTTCCTTATCCGTTTCCTTTTCCAATTGAAAGACCGACTTTCCCTCGGTATCTCCGTCAGCTTCGGTGAATTCTATCCTTTTTGTTGGGCGAACCGCTCGCGTAACTCTCCTCTTTTCGCGGTGGTGCGAGTGGTTATTAATCTCGTCGTGCTCCAGATGTTGCATGATGAACGAAACGGGTTCGGGTGCCAAAAACTCCAAGAGAACCTTGGCCGGTTGGGCACTCAACAGACTGGGATACCTCAAGTCATGGGCTATCACCTCGACGAGGAGCTCATTTGAAGTGGGCTCACCTGCCAGCATTATCTCGCCGGTTTGCGGCACAATGATTACCACATTACTGGGAGTCTTGAGTCTATAGGCAATCTTATCCCCGTCGGCATCGGTGGCTTCGACCTTGCCCAGAATCGCGAATCTCTTGTATGTCACGCTGCTATTGCTATCCATATTCACAGCCTTTTGGCCGGCGATGGCGAACTTGTAGTCCAGGGACTTGAAAATGGGTCTGTTATCATTCTCGTCCAAAACGGTGATTTGTATTTTGGAAACTGTCTTGTCCAGGCCATCAACATCGGAGGCCTCCACCGAGAGATCATAGTGGGCGCGTTCCTCGCGATCCAGAGGCCGATTTGTGACCAACCAAACACCGGACTCGTCATCGCCATCAATCACCAGGGACTTGGCATTAATCTGCACATTCTGGTTGGCTTTGCGTTCCTGCAAGGCGAATGCGTCGTCCACATTGCCATCGATGATGGTATACCTGACCTTCTTGGGCTTCGCCAACTCCTCGTCGAGAATGGAACCACTGAAGGCCTGCATCAGGGGCACTCCCCTCACCCTGGTGCCCGGCGGGTGATTCTCCCTCACCTCTCCGCTGGCGTCGAGCAGGGAGCCCGAGAACCGCAACATGTCGTTGCGATGCATCACGAACAACTGGAGATTGTGGGTGTTGGTGGCATTAGGCGATTGTTCGACAACCACCAACTGAACCGGACGATTGACCAGGGGCGATATGTCCGCCGTGGTCATAACCACACCATCGTCCAGGACGGTGAAGTACTTGGAGTAGTCGCTATCCAGCATGTGATAGGCACTGGCTCCGCTGGCAGGATGCGAGCTGCCGTTCGCCTTCACAGGATGGGTTTTGAACTTTTTAATGCTGAATCCGGGATAGGTATCGTGCGGGAGGACTAAGGACATTTCGCTGTGGTGCGGCGATGGCTTCTCCACCTCGCCAGGACTCCCGGCCAGCATTCGTGCCGCATTTTCCGCCGACAGGCCGGCGAATGTGGTCTGCTCCTCGGCCGCTACTAATTGAAGAGATATCAGAATTATCGCGCAGGTGTAGAGTTTAATTCTGTTGGTTATATAACGTTGCCTGAGCTGGTCCAGGCAACGTCGTGCCGCCATTTTGCTGGGGCACTTTTCGATCCCGTTTATTCGCAACACTTTTCTCTGATTTTCGTTCCTCTCTCCTCCGTTCCCTTTTCAATTGTCGGCTTTACACTTTACACCTGAGTTATTCATGGGTAAATTCCTTTGGCCAGACTGATTTTTTCCTCTATTGATCAATACATTTTCGTGCCGTAAACTGCAAATAAAGTGGGGAAAATGGAAATTGATTTGTGGTTAGTCGTAGGTCTCGCTTCGGGTAAATATTTACGGGCATTGTGCAAAGTTTATGGGTCAATGAAAGTGAATAATTCATGGGACTGGTAAATAAATAACACTTGGCCTGTCCGGCAAAAGCTTAATCAAGTATGCAGGAAAGTCGATTCGACTCTACGGAGAGTTCGTGGAGGGTAATGGCTGCACAGGATGATAAAATATTTAAAACTTGGCTTATTGAACTGATAATACCTGACTAGATAGTTTGCTATATGAATAAGTAATATTACATTTAGGAGAGCCACTCAATTATTTACTAGAGTCTTGCTGGGTATTAGAGTATTAGGAGGAACTTATCAGTGAAGTGTATTCATCATTAAACTCTTTACTACAATTTTTAAAACTATTACATAAAATAAAAATTCCCTTTCACAAGTTAAATTGCCTTCCTGCTTTAATATAAAGTAGTAAGTTTGTAAAACACATCATCATCACTTAGACAACCACCAGCTGAGCTTCAGAAATGTATCAACTTTTTAGATTTTAATTGCCATGTGGCAGGCGGCACAAGCTCAAAGGGCATTGAAATTGTTGCACAAAGCAAAAACTTTTTAATGATATTAGCAAAAATATTTAATATTCAGAATACTTTCAGAGAGAGACAGAGGAAGAGTGGGACGGCAAGGGCCACAATGTCACAGCCTGTTTGAGTCAAGGACTTTGCACAGGATGTGGGATTTTCGGTTGCTCTTTGATATTCCCTTGACACGCTCTACATAACGCCTCGGCAACTGCATTGTCCCAGGTTCCACGTAATTCCAAAAGTTCCCTTACATTTCCACCCCCCAGAAATGTGTATGTGTGCCACACATGGCTGGCCTTGAAAACACACAGAAATTTCATTGAGAAAATTATTTTAATTACCCCATGTGCAACACGCCACATCTAGGCTCTTTTCCCTCTAATCCGACAACGGCACGCACCCTGTAATTTCGCTACCTAAAGTTGGGGTAGCCGGGAAAAGGTCTTCTCCCGCTTTCAGAGTTTTTCATAACAGCTGCACAGGCGCCGCCGACTTTTTGGCTATTGACCATTTCGAAATGTATATCCCAAAATGTGTTGACAATGGTTTTATTTGCTTTTTACGCGTTTGCTCTCAACGAGGAGGATTTCTGGTCCAACAATTGCCGTAGCAGGGGGAAATTGTTTACTAATGATCTTATAACTATATGGCCTGACTTATTATTGGGTGTGACCGGTATGCGTTGACAAATGATTCCGAGGTGATTAGAAAAGGAAATGCACCTAACGAAAAATAATTATAGTTGAAGTTGCACGTGTGTAACAAGTCTTATTAATGATGCGTGACTTTTGAAATAACTTTGAATGTATAAACTATGTCCGAATACTAGAACATTTATTATTGTATCAGTGAAAGAAAAATATTTTCCAATTTGCACTTCAATCATAAGTAAACAATGACAGCATTTAGGTAATACTGCCCCAAATATTTTCACAAAATCAATGCCCATTTAAAATTGTTCAACGATGTCTCCTAATTTGAAAATGCCCCAGAGCCAGACATACGTTTATTTCTCACCTCTTTGGGTTATCTGTGCTGCGGCATCTTAATTGCAATTAGCTATGAAAATGTCCCCGGCAGCGGAGACAGATAGTAAAACGAAAGCCTTAGCCATATCTGTGCGATCTGCTAATCAGTTGACGGAGTTGACTACCAAACAAATTATCGAAATGTCGGCCATTTGCATAACTCGCTTCTGCCGCTAATAAACCCATAGTTTCGGGGGTAACAAGCTCGGGATGTAGGCCTTATAAATCATTTACAATTTGTTTGGCAAACGATTTTTTCTCTCGGCATTCGACATTCGGCTTCCAACAAAATCATTTCTTTGTCTTCCCTAATTTGATTGGCGGCAGCTTTCGGGCTGCTTCTGCGTGTTAAAATTCATTTGAAATGCCCCACTCTGTGATTAATCAAAACACAGTTCGGCTTTTGTTTCTCCGTTTTGCCGGATAAAAACCAAAAACTTTGTTTCTGTCTTGCTTATTTTGTTGTATTTTTCATAGTGTCACTTAATTAAAGGCGAAGATAAAACGCGATACAACAATATGCTGGATAAAAGGGCTCCAATGCATAGCTCTACATTTCGGCATAAATGAATATGTGATGCTGGAATTCCTTGTATTTATTTATTTATTCAGGCATTCGATTGATTGATGCGTCATGGCAGCCAAAGGGCACGCAATAGAATAGCTAAATGATATGCATAAATATTTGGAAGCTGCCCAAGGGTTTTATGGAACTTGATGGAAATGTATCTTTGAATTTGACATAAAGATCAGTTAGTGAAATCAATCCGGCCTACTTTCTAGATACCCTTAAGGTGGATTAATGCATTTCGAAGACCCCAAAAAATATATATAAAAATGACAAAGCTTAGGCAACGCCCCCACAGAGCATCACCTTGGGCTTTCCCCCCATTAAAGTCATTTAAAATCGATTAAAAATCAACGCCAACAGACCACCTGCAGAGTGTTAACCCAAAAGAACTCGAGTGTGAATACATTTTCGGATGGACAAAGAAATATATTCGAGCTCAAGGCGTTGCCGTCTTATTGTTTATTAGATTTTTAACTGCTGGCAACAGTTTTTAACAAGTTTCAGTAGCGAAGCTCGTAACAGACTGCATACATTAGGGCCTGTGGCTTGCCCAAAATTTCCTGGATTGAATGTCAAATGAATGTTGACTAATGAAGCTTTAATTGCCATCGATATATTTGCCTCTACATTCCGTGGCTTTTGTTGACTGTTTGCCAATGGGACGCTTTATTGATTTCTCCTTTGGAGTATATTACCCAATGGCATGCAATTAAAATTCACATTTTCATATTTTATTTACTCCCGCTTCACCCGCACAAACAAAAGTTGTCCCCATATTTGAACTGACGATTTCTTTGACGCTTTCCACTCACTTTTATTGCCGCAGCAAAGCCGATTTATGGAAATTTTTGTACTTTTTGTTGCCTTCATTTTTGTTTTTTGGCATTTTATGTTAGTGGCAATCAGGGAAGAATTGAATTTTACGAATTGAGTCGTTTAAATAAAGGTTATTAAATGGTTTTTAATGGGCAATGAAGAATATTGCTGGGTATAAACCTTAAAAATTTAAAAAGAAAACCCTGAAATTACTTATTTGAAGCATAGAATAAAATTGATAAATATAATAACTATAAAGGAAGACCCTACAACTGCAGATATTTTTATTTTTTCCCCTTAAACTCTCCCCTTTTCACATCCCTCATATTTTGGTGAACAATCATAACCATTTACAACTCATTTAGTAGCAAAACGCTTCCTCTGTGAAAGGTCAAAAAACATTTTTTCACTTTTCTATAAATTCAAAAAAAAAAAAGAAATTTAATTCAAATTTTTTACCAGGAACTGCGGGCAACCCCCAGGAAATTATGCAAATGAAAAACTAAACAAAAGCCAGCCCTAAATGGGAACATGATGGAGGGCTCGGAACAGGGAACTCCTCATGTCCAAGTCCACTTCATCAAAGGCGATGAGAGACACACACTCGGTTCGAGGAGAGTTTTATTATTGTGGCACCAGCGCGTGGCACTCCACACAACAATGGCCCGAAATCTCCCCATACCAGGTAGAAAATTTGAAAGGAAATAGAATGCCAGACAGTGGCTGGGGGAGGGGTGAACACGCTTTGGGACTTAGGATTTAGGATTTTGTTACTGGGCGGGTCGAAAATCTGGTCTGTATGTCCCTCCTAAATGGCTACAGAATGGCTGACAGGACTGCGTCGAGCAGAGTGCTTCATCAAATATGCAATAGGGAGGAAACCCAGCCAAAAATGCGACCCTCTCCTCGGTGACAATGAAAAATTGAGCAGACAATGATTAATTGGCTTGCGCGCTCGCTTGTTTTGCTATTTAAATTGGAGCCAGGCCTGGTGGAAAAATAAAGTATAATATCGAGATGAAATTCCCGTGAAATCAGAAGGCAGAAACTCATTAAATCGACGTGTCCTGCGAGTATTTATGGCCTGTCAACACTTTCGCAAAAGGATGGCGAGGAGCAGAAAATGACTTTGGCATGCAAATATCGCATTCGGTTCGGTTTCTCAACTGCCCAGGGCTATTGTCTCAGGCCGAGTCATAAATAAAGTCATTACGCACTCTTTTCTTATTTATGTGGGTATGCGATTTCCCCATCTCCTTCGGTTTCTGTTTTTTCCCTTCCTCCTCCTTTTTTTTTGCCATGCGCCAAAGGATTTCTTGCGCACACAGACAATGCATGCGATCCAAATATTTGCATATCGGAAGAAGCCCGACTACAAGAAGCGTAAGCACACAGTAGCCAGGTGAAGGCTCAGAAGGCTCAGACACAGCGGAGGCGGGCACACACACTCCAGGTAAAGAGCAACCTGATACTCGCCTCCTCCTCCTCCTGCTGTCTGGCCAACAAATTACGTGTTAACACAGGGGCAGCCTTTGGTGACACGCCTCCTCGAGAAGAGACCTCGGGACTGGTTGGTTGCTTGGTCAGCGGGAGAAACCTGCTGGAATTTAGCGATAATGATAACTCAGGTAGGTGCGGGAATGGGTTGGTCCAAAATGATGATAGCCAGGCTGCGTGCCACGTTTTAGATGTGCCCTAATCATAGTTAAGCCAGCTACACTGCTGAAAATCTTGAATCTTGAATCTCTAAACTTTAATTCAGTCTAGAAAAGTTAATATTTTATAACAATTTTAAATCGTTTAAAGAAATAAATGGTTGAAAATATAAGATACTGGATACCAACTAATAATACCATCAAACAATTTCCTCCTCTAATAGCAGAACCCCACGAAAGCTATCAGAATCTAATTCCCAACGAATACAAATCGAATTTTCCCCCTATTTACAATAGTTTCTTTTGCCGGCCAGAACAATTGGCCATTAT